ATTAGTATCATCAAGCATTTTTATGTAGAATCCATAATTATTTATTTGGAATCAGCGAATAACAAGTTTTTGCTGGATTTAATATCATTTTAATTGCCACTTGCCCACAAGAAGCTAATAGTAGGCTTTCTCATGCACCCATATAAGCAAGACCGAGATTCACACCAACGTTGACAGATGTGAGATGACAGTGATTGGTAAAGGCGAGCGCTTTAGACCACTAGGCCACCCGACGGGTTTTAGACCACTGGGACAGCCAGGGTACCTAAATAACAAGTAATACATAGCGGATAATGCAGTTAAAATATTGAAATTTTCACATTATTTAAGCATAATAATTAGTTGTAATACAGACATATTTATACTAGAAAATATAAATAATAATAAAAGAAAAACATTGGAGCACCAAAACTTTCAATACAAGCATTCAAAAATTTCCAATGGGATCCTAAGGGATCGAGATTTTGAGGCAGGATATATATTCCAAATTAAAATGATGTATTTGACTCAAATCAGAGATTGCAACAATGTGTCGCATATTTAAAATTAGATTAATAAATCAGCAACAAACCTGTAAATATATTAACAATTTTGTCTGCACTCATCGCTGTACATTTACTATTTCCCGATCAAATCTTATGTTTGACAACTTGTAAATATATGTGCAATAACACTTCCATTTGTCTTGTGGCCATTTGGAATTTCGCGCTCTTACCAAATGCTGGTAAGTGTCTAAACGGTGCGCAGGCGTGGTTCGGAAAGATTTGCATTCAGCAAAATTCTACATTTTAATAAACAGGCGACAAAAGACCCACACATAGTCCATCACTATCAATACAGATTTGAAAGAGGGGTATGGTGAGATTTATAGGTCTATGTTGAACTCTGTTCTCTTGATTTTATTGATTTTAAAACATATGACTTAACGAATGGTTTGAAATTACCTATATTTTACATATTTTTATAAAAATGGGCAATGCGTGATATAAGCAAATGGTATGCAAATTAAACTTACTGCTCATAGTTGCAAAATGGCAATAGTCAGTAATCTGTAACAATTTCTGACTCACTTAACTTTACTAACACAAATGCTATGAGCACGATTTTGTCTTAGCTATTTTACTTTATCCTCCACTTTGAGCATTTGTACATTTTCATGCTGATTGTGTCTGATGCCTGATCTGGCTCCGGGCTATTTGTAAACCTTACATTTTCCTCGATCTTTTCCCGATTTTTATTAGGAGTCTGTTTTGGGAGACTTTTTACCAATTCCGGTATATTAAGAAGAACAGGAATAGTCAAAATTACACTGATGTTATTTTCACAGGAAAATCGAAACAAAAAAGTAATCACATCGCAGTAAAACAAGCGGTCCTGACAATTTATTTGATGAATATGTGGCAAGGACGTTCTCGACTATATCCACTCTACATCCTAATGTAATTTTAAATAATGGTTGCTTTCCTGGCATTTAGTCTGAGGGAATTGTCAGACTTATTCTAAAGAAAGATGAATTAAATAACGTAGCAAATTACTGAGGTAAAAACTATTTTAGTATCAAGAGTAAATTGTTTATAAGGATTTGAAATAATAGACTTTTTAATAGGGTGGATGATCACAAGGAATTTGGCAAAGCTCAAGCTGGTTTTAGGAAAATATGTCAGTAAATAATAATATATTTAAATTACATGGATTGATAATTCATTAACTAATTTAAAAGGGACATTTAAAGGTATAATTAGTTAGAAGCAAAATATTTAATAATGTGCATTCACTATATGAATGTGTCAATAGTTGAGAAAGAGTCAATTAATACGTTATTGGTAAAATTTGGATACGTAACTGCGTCAAAGCGAATGTTTCTTACCCTTCTTATTTTCCATTTTGCTTTTTTTCTTATAATAATACTGAAGAAGAATTTGTTATCAGTTCAAGATGTTGATTCAGGTATAATACAACTGTTTATGACTTTATACGCAGATAATTTAATAATAATTTCATAGTCAAAACAGGGTTTATCAAAAAGGCCTATATGATCTGAGTACATATTTTTATATGTAACATCTTAAAGTTAATACAAACAACATGACAATTATAGTTGTCTCTAAGAGAGCAAAATAGTAAATTATATCTCTTGTTCTTCTATAAAGGCTGGAAAAAGGTGTTAATAATAAATTTATATTTATTGGAATTGTTGTAATTATAAATGGGTTCTTTCACACTTGATTAGAAACTTTCGGCGCACAAGCTTAAAAAGCGTTGTTTTTCAACTTATAACTCTACATCAATTTTTGTGATTGTGTCCGAAAGGTTAAATGTGAATTGTACTTTTACACTAATTTAACCAATTCCTAATTATGATTTAAAAGTTGAAATTTATTGAAGGAAATACTGTTTGAACTTTTAAACTTAAACTATTGATTCAGAGTCTACCCAAAATAATTTTGCATCAGATGAATTGGAGAGGACACATGTACAGATCAAGATCTCTCTCTCTCTCTCTCTCTCTCTCTCTCTCTCTCTCTCTCTCTCTCTCTCTCTCTCTCTCTCTCTCTCTCTCTCTCTCTAAATATATATATATATATATATATATATATATATATATATATATATATATATATATATATATATATATATATATATATATATATATATATATATATATATATATATATATATATATGCATGCATCAATGCATCCATACATACATACATACATACATACATACATACATACATACATACATACATACATACATACATACATTCATACATACATACATACATACATACATACATACATTCATACATACATACAAACACACACAAACACACACACATTAAAAGAAACCTTATGTATGTATCCATGCATCCATACATACATACATACATACATACATGCATGCATACATACATACATACATACATACATACATACATACATACATACATACATACATACATACATACATACATACATACATACATACATACATACATACATACATACATACATACATACATACATACATACATACATACATACATACATACATACATACATACATACATACATACATACATACATACATACATACAAACACACACAAACACACATACATTAAAAGAATTCACACCGAATACTGTAAAAAAGAGACAGCACCGATAATTGTGAAAAGGCGTTGGCATATTTAAAATTTGACCAATAAAATAAAACGATTCAGAAAGGAGAAGGAATAATATAAATAATATTGATGTTATTTATTTAAAGTAAAAGAATATTTTTAGTAAAAAGCTCATTTTAATTTTCATAAATATTCTCCTTTTACTGTTTATTTTATCATGTATTAGATTTAATATGTATTGTATAATATATTTAATTCCTCTTTAATTCTTATATATATATATATATATATATATATATATATATATATATATATATATATATATATATACATATATATATATATATATATATATATATATGACTGCCAGTTAACTGAGGAATAAAGTTGATCAAGGTGCGTATTTAAAAGCCATAATTCTAATTTGCATTTGAGTACATACGGAATATTGAAAGTTAGACTTTTGAAAACTGATTTACTGAACAAAAGAATCCAAGTATGATTCTACAATTATGTGTTTGCTGTACTCTATATGTTTTGTATGTTTGTACTACTTGTATATCTTATCGTACTCATTGCATATTGTATTGCATTCATGTATATTGTATTGTCCTTGTGTATTTTATTATACTCGTATATTGTAATGTACTCATTGTGTATTGTATTGTATTCATGTTTATTATCTACTAAAGCAATAATATAACTCGTTTTGTTTTATAAACGAAATAATACAATTTAAACAATAAAATGGTAGACCTATTCGTTGATTCTTTTTTTTATATAAATTTGTTGATTATATATAAAGCCTACCCTCTATTCGAATAGGCGGAGGCTTTAGATAGGAAGACTTAGTGTACGTGGTGATCTCCCCTTATAGGTATACTAATCTTTTCAGATTTAGGATTTTGACTATGTTCTTATTATTGTTTTGGGGTTTAATGCCATTTCTCAGGGCAAGATTAGACATAGCTATCGTTTGGGGTTTCCTGTACTGGTTGGCAGAAAGGCAATAAGCTTACTCAGTATTTGACGACTAATTTAGATGCAGTTGAAAGAGTTATATCTCCTTCTGTAACTATCCTTCAGTCTGACTCCATGTATTGGCTTAAAGTCGGTAAACTGATTCTGAAACTGATGACGACGTTTATTTTGAGGTCTTCTGTGCAGATTTGAAGCGCTTTAGGAAAGTATTGTTACTCTTTTCCCTTAATATTTTGCGTGTTCCATTATTGTTGTTGTGCTCGCCACCCCACCCACCTACGCATCTGAGTACATGCGTTCCCTCGCTTCCATAGGACTCACATTACTAATTTAGATTATATAGAAAACCTAAGCAAACACCATGATATTAAAACTTCGGTAACTAATAATTTCTGAGTGCTCATGATCAAATCTATTTTTATTGGTATAGATGACATCTGGATGTCAGCTATGTTTATCAGTATATATGAAACCTGGATGTCAGCTTCTGTGTAGAGGAAAGGATATTTTCTGGACTTGCATATGTTTGAAACATGTGCTTTCAGTTTCTCACCAAAGATTCAGTTGCTAATTATAGTAACGAGTGTTCCAAACTGTAGACTGTTAAAGAACAGAAATTCCATAAATAAAAGCAATGTCTCTATTTTTGAGGTCACTTACAACTAGGATAAGCTCTCAAAAGATTTAACGCAGCTTTAACATTTTTTCGGTCGTATATCGCGATGATGTCTGCAGTGTGGCAGTTAATTATAATGTCTATCACTGGTTCATCATGCTGCAGTCGTGTACCTAGTCACCTTGTCTTGACACCAGGGCGACCAGTCCTAACATTAACCACTTAATGTCGAGCGCTTAGCGAGCAGCTGTTAATACCATTTTTATAAGCCTTTGGTATGACTCGGGTAGGGTTCAAACCCTCGACTTCCCGCATCCAAGATGGACGCCCTAACCACTAAGCCACCGGAGCAGTCACCGATTAACACTACATCAGGAAATTGACACCGCTGTGAAAATACTGATAGTTATGCAAAAGTAATAATCTTGTGATACTAAATATAATAGTATTGAATATTCAGTTATTTCTAGCAACTATCTCGAATATAGCTTTAAAATGTAATGATAATTTCTGATTACATGAACTTTACCGACTTTTTACAATGGATTCTCCGTTGTTAATTTATTTGTTCTAGTTTCTTCCGCAAAAGTAAACAAATTTTACCTGTTCATATCAATATATTATCAAAAACATAATATGGCAAAAAAGTCAAAAAGCGGATTTTATTAAAAGAAGAGATATTAAAGAAGACCCCGGATGTAAATAATCGTATATAAACCGTATATTATTGAATTATTACTATTTTCATTTTTTAATGACACTGCTGCAGAATATTTTGTAATAAATAATAGCAATCCTATTTGTAATAATAATAATAATAATAATAATAATAATAATAATAATAATAATAATAATAATAATAATAATAATAATAATAATAATAATAATAATAATAATAATAATAATAATAATAATAATAATAATAATAATAATAATAATAATAATAATATCAGGATTTGGTCATTCGTGCTTTAACATCTTGCACTTTCAAGTTGTATTATGTTGTTTCCAGATGGGATGAATTTTATTTCTTCAGATTATTGAATTCAAGTGATTACTTTCTCCGCAAATAGAAAAGTGCACGGATAAAATTCTTGGATACAGACATTCACTGGAATTTTTAGTATATTCAAAACTGGAATTATATTACCGTGATTCAACTAAAGACTGCTGACACATGATAACTCTTTAAGGGATAACATACACATCATCGCTTTCAGTTTTGGATTTCATCAGGAATTGTACTGAGTTTTATTCAGGACTTTAAATTACTTGGACTCGTGTCTGTAATTCTTGGATTATTTTGGGATTAAATTCGCAATGCCGTAAGTTCTTTTTCTCTTTTTCACTTTGTATTCCAGGGAAATCAATTATTTGTTAAAGAATGAGGTTGAAGCCGAGAATACAAAATTGGTTAAAAGAATGACAATAATTTTGAACGAAACGAAGATATTTAAACATTTTCTTCAATATTAATGTATTTTGTATTCGTTTCGTAAGGAAATTAATTTCAACCGATTTAGCATTCCCGGCTTTCATCGCATTCCAGACAAGTGAGATAGATGTAAGCCAACTAAACTTGAAAACAAGTCCAATTGCTTGTACGAGATGCGCGATTATTTGGGCAGTAAGACCTCTACGCTCAAACAAATATAAGGGTCGAGGTCTTACATTGTAGGACTAGCATTAGGCCTGATACTGTGTCGCACTGTTATGATCTTTAATGATTTATATATCATACGCCATCGTGTGGCGGTCTATGCAACGCCATTTAAATACTACAGTTTTTAAATAAAACTCATAATAGTGAAAAAGAAAATGATACACATCTTCAAGTTCTTGATTCTCTCTGAACAGCAGAAAGTCCGAAGTTGGAGTTCATTAAACAAGGATTTGGGAATTATTTTTTTTTACAAATTGTCGAAATTTATGTGCAGTATCCATGCACAAGAGATCAAATACGCAAGGAATAGTGAAATTTGGTGACGTCATCAAAATGCACTGTTTAATTAGTCCTTAAGCCAATATCTTAACCGTTATCAATTAACGATTTTAAAACTGCCGTATGCTGGATAGAGCAAAATGGTTATACGGACGAAATACATCCGGGTAGTCGAATATTATTTATAGTATGCATTACACTGCACGTAGCCCATAGATGTTCCAGTTGATTGGTTAGTTTTCCTGCTATCAAATTAATGGATTTATTGCCTGCCACACGTAATGTTCCTTTTAAAGGTTTCGTCTTGTCAGGTGCAGTATAAACTTTTATAATCAATTTTGAATTCCTCCAAATCATCGCAACCAGCATGACTCGAGAACAGTTCAACACATTCGGATGCACTTTCATGTGTGTATCGTCTCAGTCAATTATATACAATTTTTCATGCATTTTATTGCATCCAATCCATTTCGGTTAGACTAAAACTAACTTCGCTTCTTTACATGGAATGCCGATCATTACTTGTTATTTTCAAGAGCCATGCAACATATTGTGTGCTTTGGTATGAAAATTGACTCAGACGTATCTATCATTTTTATTACTCGTTTTCTTATTAACTCCGTTTGGCATTCAATTATGGAAATGTTGCACATTTTGTTTACATCCCTCAATTTATAGCTTGTTTTTCTTATAAATTCCTCCCCAGTGCCATCATAAATTAAATGACCGAATTATTGCATTTGTAAAGCTAAATTTCGTGCTTTTGGGTCATAAAACGGAATATTCTACTGCATATAGCTATTAAATGAGACAGCTGGAGCAATTCAAGCGGTTGATATCCGTCAATATTGTAAATTAGGTCTATAATGGAGATAGAGGTATGATATTTAGCAACAAGGTTTATCTAGGCAAATAGTTTTAAGATCTTAAAAATGTTATGTTTATATTTGATCGCGAACGCACATTTATCTGTAGGTATCTGAAACATATTTGGATTGTATTCATGTATGTCTTTAGGTTTTGCTCTTCAAAAGCACAATTAGGGACCCAACAGGTTCTTTGAATTATTATTTTTTTATTTTACCAATTCTTACTCAAACAATTACGCATCAAATTGGTAATCTTGAGTAATCTTTTTCTAAAACTTTTCTTAAACAAGTTGTACTGACATGAAGATCGATGAAACATACATATAATACACACACACACACACACATATATATATATATATAGAGAGAGAGAGAGAGAGAGAGAGAGAGAGAGAGAGAGAGAGAGAGAGAGAGAGAGAGAGAGAGAGAGAGAGGAAAAAGAGAGAGAGAGAGGAAAAAGAGAGAGAGAGAGAGAGAGAGAGAGAGAGAGAGAGAGAGAGAGAGAGAGAGAGAGAGAGAGAGAGAGAGAGAGAGAGAGAGAGAGAGAGATACGCTGATGTAGTAAAAGCTCTATCAAAATCCAGTAATAAATTGACTAGAAAATCCAAACGTGGCCACCGGGTAATACCAGGCTGGAATGACTGTCAAAGAACTACACGACTCTGCACGAAATGCTTACTTAATGTGGCGTGATAACGGTAAACCTCGTCATGGACAATTAAGTAACCGAATGCGCCAAACTAGAGCACAATTTAAGTATGCCCTTAGGTCATGCAAGAATGACGAAATAAAACAGAGCAGACTCACTAGCACAAAAAAGTTGAAAATGTCGACCAACGTGAATTCTGGAAGCAAGTTAAACAAAGTATTACGACAACTTCCAATAAACTACCAATCTGCATTGATGGGTACCATGGTCAAAATAATATATGCAACATGTGGAAAAATCATTTTGAAGACTTACTCAATAGTGTCAAAAACGAATCGAATAAGAAGCGTGTTACTTCAGCATTGAATACCCCTTCTGCTCATATTGAGGTAATCACATTATCTGAGATACAAAATGCAATAAGAAGACAAAAAGGTGGTAAATGTCCAGGATCAGAATTTTTATATGTGGAACATTTTAAATATTCAGATACTAGACTTCATGGGCTATTAATGGTTTTATTTAATTGTATGTTTGTGCATAACTTTGTACCAGATGATTTCACAAAAGTTACAATTATACCGCTACTAAAAAGCAAAATTGGTAATCTAGCGGACAAAAATAACTACAGACCTATAGCTCTTACGACTATTATCTCAAAACTATTCGAATGCATCATACTACAAAGATGCGAAGTCTTAATCTCTGATAATCAGTTTGGATTTAAAAAGCAGCATTCTACAGATTTATGTCTTTATGCCTTTAAGGAAACCGTTAGCTATTATGTGGAACATGGCAGCCCAGTATTTGCATGTTTTTTAGACGCTAGTAAGGCATTTGATAGAGTCAATCATTGGACACTCTTTAAAAAGTTGCTGGAAATTAAAATTCCTGTATACATTGTTCATTTTTTAGTCAACTGTTATGGCAAACAGTTGCATTACGTGCTATGGGGAAGTGTAATATCCAGCGCTTTCCCTGTAACCAATGGAGAGAGGCAGGGAGGTATTCTTTTCCCTATGTTATTTAATATTTACATTGACGACTTAAATCGTATATTGGGCCATTGCAACGTAGGTGACGTCTGCCACCAAATGGGCTGTTTCTTAACAATTTTAGCTTTGCTGATGATATGTCACTGATAAGTTTGTCTGTCGCAGGTTTAAGAAAATTATTGAAGATATGTGAACAATATGCATTAGAGAATGATATCATCTATAATACACAAAAATCTGTATGCATGGTCTTTCAGCCAACTTCTTTTAAATTATCATCACCTCCCTCTGTACATCTTAACGGCAACGCTCTTACGTATGTCGACAGTTATATGTATTTGGGCTATATTTTGAAATCCAATCAGTCAGATAATGAAGATATGATGAGACATTATCGATATTTGTGTACTCGAACAAACATGCTTCTACGCAAATTTAAGCCTTGTTCATTGAGTATCAAAATTAGATTATTCAAATCTTATTGCTGCACTATGCATTGTGCTCCACTGTGGACAAACTTTAGTGAAAATGTGAAAAGAAAACTAGTAATTGGTTATAATAATAGTCTTCGCTTTCTATTAGGTCTTCCTGGATGGAACAGTGCCTCCAACATGTTTGTTAATTATAATGTATTAAGTTTTGAGGAAGTACTGAGAAAGTATGTATATTCAATGATAACAAGACTTTCTAATAGTGAGAACTGTATATTGAAATCACTTTGGAAATATGACATTAATTTAAATTCTCACATTGTTAGTAGATGGAACCAATTACTATTTAAATGTGTCACTTAAATTTTATTTTTTAACAATGCATGGCACAAATAATTGTTGTAAATGTATCTGAATACTTGTACATATGATATGTATATATGTTTTAGTGTATATGTATGTGTGTATG